GGGCGTTCCTTGAGCTACGCTCGACGTAGCGGGTCCAGACTCACAACCCTAATTTAGACTTGAGCATTATATAAAGAAGGCTATGACCTTATCCTCAGCCATCATTTGAGAGAGTGAAACCCTAAAAGAGAGCTAACCTTCGTTCTAAGCTTGTATGAGTGTTTTTGGAGCTAAAAGTGCCTTTGTGTGTTAGTAAAGAAGAGGAGGAGATTCTTGAGAAGGCTAGAAGTTGGAGTGCAAGCTTGGATCTGAGTTCTACAGAGGGAGAAGCTTCACTTGGAGGTAAAAAGCTCAGAACTTTCCTTGTTGTTATTATTGGGTGCTTCTTTGACAAATTTCTAGGGTTTTTGTGTTGGGTTATGAGCATTCTAACACTCCTAAGTGTACATGCAACCCTAAATACCTTGGATCTATGTTTTCTCTATTATACATGCAAATATGAACATCCAAGGTATTATCCTAATCTAGCATACAAAACAATGACTATAGCAAGATAGAATACATACCTCTTTGATGTAGAATGTCTTCATGAAGCTTGAGTGCCTAGTGCCCCAAGTGTGACACCTCAAATGGTTCACACAACACCAAATACACTTGGAATAACTTGAGAGAATTCTACACTTCATGAAAATCGGCTAGCCCTTTCTTACTCTCACTAGAGACCGATTTTCATCAAGAATAAGATGCTTATATAGTTATACAATTAGGGTAAACCCTAATTGTCATGACTTTCCATTTCCTTGGATCCATGGGTTCAAATACACCATGGAGCATCATATGGGTTTTGGCCCAACTAGATAATCCATGGAGCATTAGCCCACTATACAAGTATGGATGATTTACACAATCAACCCATATATTTAATTAGTCTTCTTTTGATCACTTAATTAATCCTAGATTAATTCTTGATCAATACTAATTAAATAATCTCATTATTAATATACTAGAACTTATAATATATTAATAACCATAAGTGTCTTATTTCTCTCATTATAGTCTATCCAAGTGCATGATGCCATGCAACCCAAATGGACCATGCCGGGTCGGGTCAATTCTTACCAATTATAGTTATAGACTTAGACATTAATCCAACATTTTGGTCCCAAGGTGAAGACTTTATGAGCAAAAGGTCTCTATAAGCCTAGATATTATATATTTCAGAGTATTATGAGTTGTGGGTTCATAAAAATCCAAACATGGACGTGGATCTTAAGTCATGCATGAGATCTAAGCTTTATGAGGAAAGAGGAGAGGTGTTAGAGTGATTAGTGACCTTTACAGCCATGCAAAGGCTTAAAGGTTCCGACTTTATGGAATAAGAGGCCTAGGGGAAGTCAGATTTGATAGTTGGATGGGTGTCTTAACCGTTTAAGACCCAAAGATCAAAAGAGCATAAAACTGGGAGTTACGCGGGGCGTAATCCCAGTATGTGCAGCGTGAGGGGCCGCGTACCCCGATTCTATGAGTGACCGAGTACGCCCTGTGTACAGTTTTGGTACGCGCAGTGTAACCCGGAGGGTTGACTTTTGGTTGACTTTTAAGGTTTAGTCAATGGTTGGATCTTTGAGTCATAAGAGGGGTAAAATGGTCTTTTACCCTCTAAGAGAACTTTAGAGATGAGACTATGAGAGGGTATTGATCGGGAATGCTATTTGAATGATAAGAGGAGGCTAGGTAGGGACGTTGAGCATAAGAGTTTATCCGACTTCGTTTGAGGTGAGTCTTCTTACTATACTATACTTTGAAGGGTACCTATGTGTGACCGGAATGTCTTATATGCTATGAGATGTATGTGATATATGTTGTTATGTGATATGTATGTTATGTATAATAAGGACCGGAAGGTCGAGATGACATGGACTGGAAGGTCAACACGGGTAGGACCGAAAGGTCTATCGGGACTCGGGACGGAAGTCCCCTGAGACACTTGGACCGGAAGGTCCCACAGAGTTATGGCCTGGAAAGGCGTATGTGTTGTATGTGGTATTTTGGGGAACTCACTAAGCATTTATGCTTATCGTGTTATGTGTTTGAGGTTCTAGCGAGGATCACGGGAAGGCGTCGGCGTGATTTCCCGTGATCTGTACACACTCATGGAGTTCATGTTTTAAGATTCTGGGATTTATGTTGTAATGATAACATTGGATACATTATGTTTTGATATTATCTTGTGAATGAACATATGTTTTAAAAATGAAAATTTGTTTTGAAAATTTATGTCGTTACAAGTTGGTATCAGAGCCTTGGTTTGAGGGATTCGGGTGCATCTTTGGGTGTATTTGAACTCAAATTGAGGATTTGAGAAAGATTGTCATAAAATAAACAATTTTTCTAAAGAAGTAAAAGGATTTGAGAAAAGCATAAAGAAGCAGTGTGTACGATCAGCCAGCGCCCGAACGGTGATTTTCCTAAAAAGCCTAACATTATGTGTTATGAGATATGTTATGATATGTTATGCTAAAGTAGGCTAGGTATTTGTATTAGGACTAGAGTGGCCTGATTTGTGATGCCTTAGCCTAGGAAGATTTATGATGCTATGAGATGCTTGAGGGTGAATAGGTAGCAGTGAGGAGCTTATGAGAGTCCTACCGGAGGGTAGCCTATGCCAGTGAGATGTAGAGTACTCGTGATCTAGGATCCAAGGAGGAGGGCTTGGGGTGAATACTGATGCGGTGTGGACGGTAGTATAGGGCCTATAATACTTAAGACACCGGATCAGTGCGCAGTCCAAGTAAGAATCCTTAGGATACTGGGGAACAAGTAGGGTTGAGTTATCGAGTGGGAGTATGCTCGAGCGAGTCTCTGATTTATTTTATGTTGTATTTCAGAGACATCATGGTTGGGACACGCCACAGACCTGGGACGAGCGGCGGGAGTGATGAGGAGCTTTGTCAGATGATTCACGATGAGGTGGCAGCGGCGATTCGAGCCGAGATTCTGGAGATGTTTGGGTATATCAAGACCACATTGATTGGGACTTTTGATGAGCGCTACGCAGAGGTTACTGAGACCGCGATTACTGCAGCTACCGCAGCTGTGACTGCTGCTAGACCTCAGGGAGGTGACTCGTTGTTGTTTCGGGAGTTCAGCAACACGAAGCCACCAGAGTTTGACGGGATGCAGGATCCGATCACTGCGATGAGATGGAATTCTGATATCGAAGGATGCTTCTACACGTGTTCATGTCCGGAGCATCTGAGGGTACGCTTCACGCTAAACCAGCTCCACTTGGGAGCGAAGGATTGGTGGAAATTCGTAATGGCGAACTTCACTCTTGCGGAGCTTTCAGGGGTGACCTGGGAGAGGTTCACCACCATGTTCAGAGACGAGTATGTTCCCCCGGTGGAGAGGGAAAGATTGGCCCAGGAGTTTTTGACCCTCAAGCAAGGTAATGATTCTGTTATTGTGGTTACCAGGAAGTTTCATGAGAGGGCGATGTTCTGCCCTGAGCAGGACCGAGCAAGCACGCATGAGTCGTTATCTGGGCATACTGAGGAGGGATATTCGGGAGTTCGTAGTGAACTCGACATATCGGATATTTGCTGAGCTCCAGGAAAATGCCTGGAAGAGGGAGATTGACTTGGAGACTCAGGCCAGGGAGGAGGCCGAGTCTCAGTGGAAGGATCGGCGATCGGCACAGTCTTAGCCGGCAGCCAAGCGGGCAAAGCCCGCCGATTCGAGATCTGGAGGCCAGAAGAGTCGTACTTACGGGAAGTGCGGCAAGGGACATGATGGGGTTTGTCGATCGGGTAATGTGGCAAGGAGGGGCATATAGCCAAGGATTTCCCCAAGGGATTCATGGTTTGCTTTCATTGCAATCAGACGGGCCATCGGAAGGCCGAGTGTCCACAGCGGTTACAGGGGTCTGCGCAAGTGACTGAGGGACGGCCAGTGAAGGTCGAGGAACCAAAAGCTCGCGGGAGAGCATTCCAGTTGACAACGGAGGAGGTCCACGCAGTGGCCGGTATGTATTCTTTCATTTATTTTTGCTAAGTTATGATATGGTGCTTATTTTATGATATGTGTAGGTATTTTTCTTGTGAATTCTGTACTTGCTTTGGTGTTATTTGACTCGGGTGCGAGTCGGTCATTTGTTTCTTTAGCATGTAGTCAGTACATCAGTATCTGGCGAGAGGCGTTGAGTCGACCTCTAAGATTTTCTATAGCTGACGAGCGAGTGGTGTATGCTACGGATGTGATTCGAGGATGTCTACTTGAGATTTGCGGTGTTGAGTTTTCGATATATCTGGTCCCGATTGCGATGGGGGACATGTATGTCATAGTAGGCATGGATTGGTTGAACCGATTTGGGGCTGTTATAGACTACGAGCGACAGTTGATGACGATACAACACCCTAGTGGGGGAGTACTTACGGTGTACGAAGAGGGTACCCTATGTGGGTCCGCATTTTGTTCGGTTGCCAGAGCGAGACAGAGTTTACAGCAGGGCTGCAGCGGGTTCGTAGCCTATGTGTTGGATACACGAGTGGCCGCTGGGAGGCCAAGCTCAATTGATGATGTTCCGATAATGCGCGAGTTCCTGGATGTTTTTCCCGAGGAGTTGTCGGGTGTGCCTCCCGAGAGGCAGGTAGAGTTTTGCATCAATTTGGTTCCGGGGGCAACGCCTATCGCCAAGGCGCCTTATCGCCTTGCGCCGCCAGAGATGCAGGAGCTATCCTCTCAGCTTCAGGAGCTGCTAGGGAAGGGGTTTATTAGACCAAGTAGCTCGCAGTGGGGAGCGTCGATCCTTTTTGTCAAGAAAAATGATGGATCACACCGGATGTGCATTGATTATCGGGAATTGAACAAGTTGACGGTCAAGAACCGTTATCCATTATCGAGGATCGACGATATGTTCGATTAGTTGCAGGGAGCGTCTTGGTTCTCCAAGATAGACTTGAGTTATGGATATCATCAGATGAGAGTAGGGGTGAGCATAAGCGGGTACCCGACCAAATTTAGAGGAACCGGAACCAGAACCAGAACCGCCAGTTCCTAAAATGTTGGAACCGAAACCGAAACCGGTTACATCGGTTCCTACAATTTTAGAACCGCTCCTGGAACCACGGAACCGGTTCTGGTTCCGGGTACCCGCTTGCTAAAAACTTTTAAACTATTTTAAGCCAAACGTAATGGGATACTTAACATATGCACATATTTTGAGACCTTTGTTTTGAAAAGTTTAAAACTTTTTTATGTTCACAATAGGCTCAAATACTCCAACCCATTTAAAGTTCGCATTTCAAGCCTTATTGTTGTAGTAAGAAATAAATAAGGCGCCTTTTCTTTTTATAAGTTAAACAACATTCAAGCATTCTTATATATATATTAAAGGAGGACACTTTTTAGGAATAGTGCCTAACCAGGGTGGATTTAATTCCTTAACCATGGTCACTACTTCATCTGGATCCTTCTAAAGCTCGGTTTGCCGGTTATTAGGGAATCGATCCTTTGAGTTTCTTCTTTCCACCGTCCTTATCCAAACCGTCTGCTTGAAACCATCGTTTTTTCCACAGATCTGGGTTCGATTTTGGTTTTAACAAACATCTCAGGTACCGCTAACCCCCTTTTCCCTCTTTCAATTTCGATTAATTTTTCGTGCTTCATATACTTCTGCCTCCTCGACCTCCTAATTAGTTGTTTACAGATTTCATTGCACCCACCAAACTTGACCGTAGAAGCCCTCCAAACATCCTGCTCCATCGGGTTCTTGCGTAACCCAGTTCGAAACGGAGGAGATATTGAGTATGGGTTCCAATCAACCGACTTTGTTTCTGCTTCTATTCGTCGACAAACCTGGTTCAATGTTTAGGAAGACACGAAAGAAAAGTCTACATCATTGCCACCACCTATCTCAGCCGCCGCCACCAAGAGAATGATAAATAACCGAATATTAGGTCCCGATTTTGGGTTCATCAACCAGGTATGGATTCCCCTTCTTTCGTCTTTGTTTTCTCAATTTCATAAGTTAGGGTTTAGTTTGGGGTTTATGATGCCATTTCAAGTATTTTACATGCAAATTGTTGAATGATTTTAGTTTTACTCAAATCTATGTAGGTATCTTTTGTTTAAGGTTTCCGGTGGAACCCGTGTTGAAGAGATTAGCTGCAGTTTTCTGCTTCCAGGCCTGGTATGCTCTATAGTCTACAAAGTTTTTATTTTTTTTGGTTGTATTGTGATGAAATCCTAATTCATCTTTCTTCTTTTGTTACATTTCCTAGAAGAATTTAAATGACCACTAGATTAGATTGATATCAGAAGCTTTGAAGTTTTAGCAAAAACAAAATGGTAATCGTGCTGTTTATTTTCTAGGAATGGCATGCAAAATCTTTTATCAAATTTATTACAAACCAATTATCACTCATGGTACATTTTGATAAATATCAATGTAGTCAGCACAATTTCTAAACCTTTATCATCTGAAGCCAAAATCTAGCTCTTTCTTTTCAACTGGGTTGTATAAAGAGATAAAGTGAGCAATGTCACGGAAACACACATTACAACTACTTTTTATAGATTCTTCCTATGGAAAGGTGCATCCAATTATATATATTACGATATATTTTGTGTATAAATGTCTGGCATTCATTTTTTAGCATTTACTATTTATATATTTTTGTTTTTTTATTGGATGCAGTTTGAACGGTGAGAAGCCATAAATAAAATTGCACAAAATGTGAAAGGTATTCTATATGAAGAAGGTGATGACTAAAACTTAAATTTTTACCAAAATGGGTTGATACATTGTGAAATCAGGTGATCTTTATGGCTATCAAATATAAGTAGGATGGAAAAAAGTAAGAAAGTGAGCAAGTAAATTGGTTAAAATGGAGATGTTGTCTTTTACACACTTTTATAAAAAAAAATTATTTTTAGTAGTTGGTCGCTTTTATGAGTCAATGGTACAATCTTTTTTGTTCCCCAATCACGAGAAGGTATCCACAGGTTGTTCTACTATGATAATAGAGACGACAACGATACGTTGCTTGCTTTACAGTCAATGGTACAATCTTTTTTTATCCCCATTTTGCCCTTACATTGTTTTATAGATTATATGGTATTAAATTGGACTCTTTAACGGTATTTTGAGTTTCAGGTGTCAAAAGTCTTTCTTTATGTCCGACAACAAGGTGATAAATTTATGAAAATTAAATATATGTATTGATTATTTTTTATATAATGTTAGTTATGCAGCAAAACCATACTTGTGAAGGCTGTTGGTGTTGTGGATACAAGTCCAGATACTGTTGTTGAGATGTTTTTGAACGTTGATAAACATAGAAGATATGAGTATGTTGATAAATTTATGTGTTTTTTGGGATATAAAATCTTTTTTGTGTTTACTAAAAAATTAGATTTTCAGGTGGGATGCATTCACTGCTGATTTAGAACTTGTAGATATTTTTAAGTGGTCATTCTGATGTTGGTTATGGGTCTTATGATTCCAAATGCTTAACTAGGTGGGTTGATCTCCAACTGATTTTGTTGATGTTGGTTTATTGGTGAGCGTTGGGTATAAGAGTATTGTTTTTTCTGCAACCTAATCTATAACCTAATCTTTTGCAGGGAAGAACCCCAGGTGTTTGATGGAATGTCGCACACAAAAAGGCGAAGATTTGCTGATGTCGAAGCAGGTATGTGTGTGGATAATTAGGTCCATTAAAATTGAATTTGTAATTTATAGAGCTTCATATAGTGATTTTGATACTTTTCATTATGTATTGGTTTTGGATTATGTTTGGGTCTTTCGCTTCTCAAGAATTTATGCTTATAGCACCATATTTGTTCTTATGTCGAGTTTTTTTTTGGGTTGTTTGTATCTCAGATTGTAATTGACTTCGTTTCAAAGTCACCGAGCTTAGGATTACAGTTTGTTGATTGGCCGATAAGGGTATTGGAATAATTTGGAATGGTATTCTAATTTTGATTACATGTTGAAACATTTGCCCACCAACCGTTTGTTAAAAGTTTTTACTGAATTCTCATATTTTTTTATGTGGTCTCTAACTAATGCCGATCATCTATTTGTTTATGAGATTTGGTCAAACTAGCAAATCAAAGAATGAAACATTTGTTTTTGTTTTTGAATCACATGTACACTTCAACAATCTATGGGAAATACTCTTCAACATTAAGGGTGGATCTGTCCAACAAATACTCTTCAAACATTGGTTTTACACTGCAAGGTATGGAATTATAAATAGCTAACATTTGTATTTGTTTTAATGAATTTAATTTCTTTTAGTTGGGTTAATCAGAATGTAGGAAATGAAGCCTTTCAGAATGATAAGCATACAGAAGCAACAGATCATTATAGTGCTGAAATATCAAAAAGTATAGAATCACACTCATTTGCAGTTGTTTGTTTCTGCAATCATGTCACTCCAAACCAATATTTGGGTGAAGTCATTGATGACCCAAACTGTAAGCGAGATTGTTTGCATCTTATTAAGTGGGGTTCCTCCTGGTGAGTGATTAATATTTAAGGGGGTGCATTAAGTTTTGTATGGGTAAAGTCATTTGTATCAATGTCTTTTTTATGTTGCACTTCAAATTCGTTGGTAGATTCATAATATATCATTCACTCTTTGTAGAATTTTTTAGATTGAGGCACAGGCAATTAGAAATGTGAGACCAAACGGCATATTGACATGTATTTATTTATAGAGATGGTCATTGGGTTTGAATTAGAAATGTGAGACCAAAAGGCATATATTGACATGTATTTATTCATACAGAGGGTCATTGGGTTTGACTATGTAAAGTTAAATTCAGCCAACAGATGTGGGGTTTGTGAATTGTATTATTTAAAACATTCCTTTGTAGTCATAGATTAAATTGGTTGACTTTCGTTTAGTGGATAGTTCCGATTCAAATCAAATGCTCTCAATCGTATCTGTTTAGCTTGATCTCCGCAACACGGGGTAGGGGTGAGCATGGTGCGGTTTGGTGCGGTTTTCAGACCAAACCGAACCGCAAACCGCATGGTGCGGTTTTTGCATTCTTTAAAACCGTTGGGTGCGGTTTTGCAATGGTTCGGTTTTTCGGTTTTTAAATGCAGTTTCGGTTTGTATCGGTGCGGTTTCGGTTTTTAAACCGTGTTAAGAATTTGGTGCAATTTTTTTTTTTTATGTTTTTTTGTGCGGTTTTTTAAAACTGTAAGAACTGAAAACCATGTGCATATAAGCTTGTATTGTGCTGTTTTTTTTAATACATTCATTTTCAGCTCAAAACATAACTACATAATCAAAAATTGTAAGTCGCTTAAAATACAACTTGTGACCACTCTCACAAACTAATTAATGATTGAAGGTTGGTTGATTTTGACTTAATTTGTTACAAGCTTATTACATGTAATCGATTAGTACGTTTGACTAACAATAGAACATTTCTTTTGCACCCCATATAGTTTTATACAAACACAAAATAAACATATAATAAATATATTATCGTTTATAACTATTTTAAATAGAATGTATATAATATACATTGATTGATTTATTACTATACATGCTTGCGGTGCGGTTCGGTTTTGATGGACCGTTTTTTAGGATAGAAACCGCACCGCACCGTTGACCTTCGGTTTTTGCAAAAATTAAATCCGCACCATTGGTTTTTGAATCGGTTTCGGTTTTTCGGTTGCGGTTTATTGCGGTTTTGTCGGTTTTTTTTAGTCGGTTCGGTTTTTGCTCACCCCTAACGCGGGGCTCCCCATTTAGTATATATTAAAGAATGATACTTTTTAGGAATAGTAAACTTATGTGGCTTTTCGCAAGAATAGTTCTCTATTTATGTGTTTGTGTTCAAATCCGTCTTTAAGTTATTTTATGTCAGTATCCATATTTTATGCGGACACGTCTTAAGTTTGTTATTTTATAAAAAAAGAAACTTTTTACATCTTATAATGAAAATGAATATGTAAAAAATTAGAATTTAATTTTTTTTTACAGTCATTCTTAACCTGTCGCATCTGATCCCGCGTTGCGGGGGTTCTCACCTAGTTGTTGTATCAAGCGATACGGGAGATTATATCCTACACTTTCAACTACTCCTTTTACTTTCTTATATTTATGTTATCTCATATTCACGATTTCTATTGCATTCTTCTATTGCTACTTTAAAGAATTAACACAAAGACAACTTCATATGTAAGTTTAAAAAAATGTGAGCGTCATTATCATTCAAAGTGGGTATCACAATGATAAAGTCCAGTGTTATATTTTTTTCACTACTGAAGGTTCACAAATGAAGGTATTAACAAAAAAGTAAAGGCAATTCTTTGTTAAATATAAAACAACCTAAAATATGACTAATACATAGGTCGAGGTATAAACTGTTAGAGTACTTGAATTTATATATATATATATATATATATATATATATATATATATATATATATATATATATATATATATATATATATATATATATATATATACTCACACACACGCACAAATCGGTTTCGGCAGATACACAACGGGTAGCGGTTCCGAAATAATAAGAACCGAAACCACTTAAGGCGGTTCTTAAACTTTAAAAACCGGAACCGCATAATGCGGTTTCGGTTTCGGAACCGGCAGTTCCGTGGCGGATCCGGTTCCGAAAGCGGGTACCCGGTTATTATGCACACCCCTAGATGAGAGTACGAGATAAAGATATCCAGAAGACGGCGTTCAGAACTCGTTATGGGCATTACGAGTTCGTGGTGATGCCTTTTGGACTCACCAATGCAGCGACGGCGTTAATGGACCTCATGAATAGGGTGTGCAGACCGATGTTGGATTGGTCGGTGATCGTGTTCATCGACAATATTCTGGTGTATTTGAGATTTAGAGAGCAGCATGAGGAGCATCTGAGAGAGATTCTCGGGGTATTGAGGACGTAGAGGCTTTTCGCCAAATTCTCCAAGGGTGATTTTTAGTTACGAGAGGTCCAGTTCTTGGGACACCTCGTTAACCAGAATGGGATATTGGTCGACCCGACCAAGATTGAGGCGGTTATGAGGTGGGAAGTGCCAAGCCACCCACCGAGATTAGGAGTTTTCTAGGATTGGACGGCTACTATCGGATATTTATCAAGGATTTCTCCAAGATCATCATGCCTCTCACCAGGTTGACCCGAAAGGGTGTAGTTTTTTCGTGGGGTCCGGAGCAGCAGACCTCATTTGAGACACTTCGCCTGAGATTATGCGAAGCCCTGGTGTTAGCCCTCCCGGAAGGGATGGAAGATTTTGTGGTTTATTATGACGCATCGATATCGGGTTTGGGTGCAGTACTCATGCATAGAGGGCACATAATAGCATATGCTTTGAGGCAGTTGAAGCCTCATGAGACGAGGTATCCCACCCACGATCTGGAGCTGGGGGCAGTGGTGTTCGCCCTCAAGATCTGGCGCCACTATCTCTATGGGGTTCGGTGTACCATATACACGGACCACAAGAGCTTGAAGTATTTGACGGATCAGCCCAACCTGAATATGCGCCAGAGGAGATGGTTGGACATGGTAAAGGATTATGGTTGTGAGATCCTATACCACCCAGGCAGAGGTAGTGATACCGGAGAACCGCAAGAGAGAGTGGGTGATCGGGAAGGTACCTGAGTTCGTTACCGATAGCCGCAGACTTATGACCTTTCAGGGTCGGATTTGGGTGTCGTTTGTAGGTGGGGCAAGTACCACTTTGATGAAGGAGGCGCACAAATCGAGGTTCTTGATCCACTTTGATGAAGGAGGGCCACCATTCGAGTATTGGTATGACTCCCTTCGAGTTGTTGTATGGAAGAAGGTGTTGAACTCCCATTTGTTGGGGAGAGGTAGGGCAGCGAGTGATGAGCAACACTGAGATAGTGCTTCAGATGACTGAGCAGATACAATAGTTCATACAAAGGTTGTTGCCGACTTAGAGTCGCTAGAAGAGTTACGCGGATAGGCGACCATCCGAGCTCAAGTTTTAGGTTGGAGATTTCGTGCTCCTGAAGGTATCTCCTTGGAAAGGAGTTATCCGATTTAGGAAGAGGGGCAAATTGGGACCCCAGTACATTGGTCCTTTCAGGGTGACCACTAGGGTAAGCAGTGTAGCATACCGTTTGGAGCTACCTACGGAGCTGAGCCAGATTCATGATACCTTCCACGTGTCTCAGCTGAGGAAGTGTATTGCCGATGAGACGGCAGTCGTGCCACTAGAGGAGATTCATGTGGATACGAGCCTAAGTTATGCTGAGAGGCCAATCGCGATTGTGGATCGAAAGATCAAGGTTTTGAGGAACAAGGAGGTGCCCCTGGTTCAGGTCCAGTGGCAACATCAGGGAGGGTATGAGCTGACTTGGGAGCCAGAGTCAGAGATGCGGAAGAAGCATCCGGAGTTGTTTGCAACATGAGACTTCGAAGGAGAAGTCTGGTTTTAGTGGGGGAGAATTGTAACATCCCAAGATTCAGGTATATCCGTTTAACCCTTCCTTCTTTCTGAGTTGTCTTGTTTAGCCCTTAAAAGTGAACCAAGGAAATTGAGTATGTTGGATGTACTAAGGAGTAAGTTGCACGTACTCAAGGGCGTGTTTTGGATGCGGACTCCACCCGGTACGCTGGGCGTACCTTGAGCCACGCTCGGCGTAGCGGGACCAAACTCACAGCCTTAATTTAGACTTGAGCCCTATATAAAGAAGGTTATGGCCTTATCCTCAGCCATCATTTGAGAGAGTGAAACCCTAAAAGAGAGCTAACCTTCGTTCTAATCTTGTGTGAGTGTTTTTGGAGCTAAAAGTGCCTTCGTGTGTTAGTAAAGAAGAGGAGGAGATTCTTGAGAAGGCTAGAAGTTGGAGTGCAAGAGTTGGATCTGAGTTCTACAAAGGGAGAAGCTTCACTTGGAGGTAAAAAGCTCAGAACTTTCCTTGTTGTTATTATTGGGTGCTTCTTGCACAAATTTCTAGGGTTTTTGGTCCCAAGGTGAAGACTTTATGAGCAAAAGGTCTCTATAAGCCTAGATCTTCTATATTTCAGAGTATTATGAGTTGTGGGTTCATAAAAATCAAAACTTGGACATGGATCTGAAGTCATGTATGAGATCTAAGCTTTATGAGGAAAGAGGAGAGGTGTTAGAGTTATTAGTGACCTTTACAGCCATACAAAGGCTTAAAGGTTCCGACTTTATGGAATAAGAGGCCTAGGGGAAGTCAGATCTGACAGTTGGATGAGAGTCTTAACTGTTTAAGACCCAAAGATCAAAAGAGCATAAAACTGGGAGTTACTCAGGGCGTAATCCCAGTACGTGCAGCGTAAGGGGCCGTGTACCCCGATTCTGTGACTGGACGGGTACGCCCAACATACAATTTTGGTATGCGCAGTGTAACCCGGAGGGTTGACTTTTGGTTTACTTTTAGGGTTTAGTTAATGGTTGGATCTTTGAGTCATAAGAGGGGTAAAATGGTTTTTTACCCTTCTAAGAAAACTTTAGAGATGAGACTATGAGAGGTTATTG